TATATATATAATCTTTTTATCTATGTATTTAAAAAAATGAATCTTACATTTCTTTTTATTCTAGTGGGTAGAATACATTTTACATACTTAACTATACATTTTTGCAAATTATGAGCAAAATCCTTCAGTTGATAACTTTATTATAAATGTATTACAATACAGGTTTATCAAATCAAGATTGACCCCAGACTACATAACAAATTCTGTATAAAAGTTTCTGTTGAAACAAACAATAACAATGTATGTAAAAATATCCCCAGCCTATACAAATACTTTCGATGGAATTGTAAAAAAATTCGTAATTTATTGCATTTGTTAATCACATAAATTACGTTATAAAACTATGACAACAAAATTAAAAAATCACAACTTTGCTTTGTTAGTTTCCATAAGACTCTTTAACTTTTGCGTAAGCATAATATTTCCAGTTATTTTTAATTTTCCACGCATAAATGCCAATTGTGGATTTAATTTTCCTAATGCCTGCAACAATCATGATATTGTTTAGAAAAGAAAATAACTCTTTATTTTTTACACTAATTTGATCAACTTACGATTTCAACCATATCTTTATCTTCTAAAGTAAGTGTCGCGTCTGCTTTCCCAGATTTAGGTTTTCCCTTATGTACCTCACCATTCTTCAAATCGAGAGCTATCAAAAAAAGCAAATTATTTACGTAGGACACACACACAAATAACATTTTTTGTTGTTTATTAAACTTTCGAAGAACTGTGAAACGCGATCATAACAAATGGTTGTTACAAAAGACCTCAATTTGAGCTATCCAAAAAGGTTAAAATACGTTGCCGGATAAAAAAATTTTTTTTAATTGATATTAAAAATTTCCGTTTTAGCCCCTTAATTTAATAGGGCACATGCAGCCCAAATATCACAGTTTCTTAGACACATTATTAAAATTTTCCAAAGTTACTTACTCCATTCAGATGTATGTTTCCCATCAACGGTAATATTGTAAAGGAAGATCGCATTAACTTTCTTAGCCTCATTCTGATTCTGTTTCACTTGTTCACTGATAGTTGCGAATATAGCATCACTATCCAGATTTGTTTTTGCAGAACACAGATTTGCTCGTGGTATTTCCATTTTTACCTCGAACAGATCAACGTAAGCACCTGCAAAATAAAATTATCCGTTCTTATCTCGCTACTTTTAAAAATAAAGAAATTTATTGAAATAATAAATAAAATAATATATGTAAAATTCTATACTATAGACTGGGATACCAGTTATTACTAACCTGTAATAACTGGTACTCCGGTCTCGTGGATAGATGTTTGAAAATGTATCCTGTTACCGTTGCGCCACATATCAGTACATAGAGTCTGACCTGGTATAACTGGTTTTGCAAATCTTACCTAGAATATTATATTAAACAAAGATGTTAATCACGTTAAATCCGTAAAGAATGTCACTAAATGCCTCCTTGTCGCAAATAAGGGGTGCGGTCCACTTGGCTACAAATGCTTCGAAGCTTTTGACCAATCGGAAGAAAGAATTTTACTAACTGACCAATCAAAAAATGCTTCGAAGCATTTGCAGCATTAAGTGGATCGTAATCAAGATTACGTAAATACATCTCTGATTACAGAGTCTATAGTCCACTGAAATAATTTAATCAAAAACGGATAATACAAATGTTGTCAAGATAAATAATATATGTATATAAAATAAACAGTATGTGGCCAAGATAAAAAAAATATTGCAGATTGCATGAATTTAATTTCATTACATTTGTTATTAATTAATTCAAAACTATCAAATTTTAATTAATTGTAACTTTATTTTTACAATAAAACCACTATAGTAAAACAAAATTCAAAATAGCAAGATTTTCTCCTATGTACCATAATGTTTATCTTATTTATTATTGTTTTTCTTGACATATTATTACATTTTTTAAACATATATATTTACCTTTTATGATGAAAAACACTTAATAAATTATTAATATATTAATAATTATATTAACCGTATTTAACACTGACTTACGTTGATGCAATGACATAAATGTTTCTCAGTTAATAAATTACCACTGAACACTGCTACATCACGTTTTATGTACTCGTTGTGGTTTGTAACTGCTATTTATAACTACATCATTTTAGCACAGACCATGAATGTGCATAATGCATATATTACTATGATAATTAATGCATAAAAGTTCACAAGGTTTTACAACAAGGTTTACCAAATATTTTCTTGTAATATAATTTTGTTTTCACACGCATAAACATATAGAAATAATAAAAAACCTTGTTTTAGTGTAATATTTTTAAAACGAGAATATGAATTTTGAGATAGAGATCTAGTTTGTGACAATAGTTATTTCTACTAAAAAAATATAAATTTTTTTATACATATATACAAAGATGACTTATTTTAAGTACTGTTAATCGCAGTATTGTTTAGAATAGCAAAAATATATCTTTTTCATATTGTAGACTCTACAATGTAAATTATAATTTCTCTTTCTTATTTTCAAAATTTTCGACGTAAAAATATGAACGTTTTGATGCGTTCATATCGTCATATTATAACAAATAAATCTTTTTCATTTTATTGAGTTATCTATTTAGTTTGGCATTTCAAATTATTTGGAGTACAAAGTTCACTTTGAAACTTTATGAATATCATATTCTTATTCGATAATTATACCTTAATGGATTTGAATAAATGTGCATCTCCAGCAGCATAAGTCTGAAGAATATGACGGGTAGAGAATCCCAGAGAGCAAAGTCCATGCAATATCGGTTTTTTGAATCCTCCCATCATGGCAACATTAGCATCAATATGCAAAGGATTCAAATCTCCGCTCAATCTATACAAAGCAGCCTGTAAAGATGATGTCAAAATGTCATTGTATAATTTAACGTAAATTCAAAATACAAAATTTAAAACAAGACATTCGAATATTTTCATTACATTTATGAATACGTAAGGAACTGAAAATAAAACTATTCGATTTTAAAAGTAAACATGATAATAAGATTAATTTTAATTTTCAAGATAGCACTCTAGTTTTGAAGTTTATCAATGTTACTTATTTCTTTAAGTATATTTAAAACGTAAATTCTAGTTTTTGAGAAACAATATGTCTAATAAGTATATTCTTTTTTTTACCTGATCGTCACTAGTCTTTTGTGTAACAGTTACATCCGGTTTTCGAGTGGGAGGATCCATGGTTGGAATGACAAACGTCGATGTTCGTTTTCCTTTAAAACCACCTAAGCCGACGATAAATGCAGACATCTGCCCACTCGATAGTTTTTCACCGGTTGCTACATCGTAAGTATCATCTAGAGAAACACGAAAAGTTACATATGTATAGCATTTACGTAGACTAAGTCTATGCATTATTGCACACATCTTTCACGGTTATTACATCTAAGTTACAAATATCTTACATTAATGAGATTAATCATTAACATTGTATTCGTATCACAAATGTCACTTATTAAATATGTACATTAAATATGTACATTAAATGTGACACTTCAATCGTTTCATATTACAAAATTTACATACGTTGGATTAAGACAACGGTGCCTTTTCCTTTATCCAAGATGTCTTGAACTTTAAAGCGCGTCTCCACTGTGGCTTCCGTAGGTAATCGTTTATGAATTTCTAAATATTGTTCGCCATGAAGTATCTACAAATATCAATGCAAAATAAATTTAAGAATGTTAAAATAACACAATGATTAAAAAAAAACCTTAGTTATACTTGTGTTGGATTAAATGTAAACGGAACAGCATCTTGCACGATAGAAGAATTCATACAGCCCATAGGTCCATACAAAACGAAGAAAGTGGGTAAAACCGAAAATTCGTCAGCATTCTCATACAAATAACGAATATCATTTGGTTCTTGAACTGTAGCACCAACTGAAATACAAAACCCAATAAATTTACATTAAGTTGCGTAAATTCATGAATCTGTTATATATTCAGTCTGCTTAACGTACCTCCAAGCGCATACAGTATAATGTCCCGGAAATTATAATCATTCTTTAAGATATGATCTACCTGTGAAATGGAAATGATAAAAAATAAATTCTGTGTGATTCACAAAAAAGATTTACGGATACATAACTTACATCATTTGAAGAAGCACCACTTTTCATTCTCTCGAGAACGCCAAACAGTTCTGCTGTTGCTTCCTAAACAGAGATTGTAGAATAAGAAATGTCAAGTTCAATGTACACAGGTATACTCTTTTTACCTGGATCGAATTGAGTCGTTTTGCCGATGTCATGTCTGTTATCTTCGACCAATTTTCTCGTACGGTTTCTGGTGTAACGTCAACCGATAAATTTTGTCGTAAGGCACAACCCGCAGAGCGGATTATGTGACCTATAAATTCAAACATGGCATCTTTTATATTCATTATTGCAATATTTTTATATTAATTTCAATGAAAGAAATGAAAAAAATTTATAAAAATATAAGATAAATAACTGTTTATTTTGAACAATATGAAATTTCGAAAATAATTATTCGTTAAAAATTGTATTTTCTTTACAGATATTAACAGCTATGAGGCTAAATATTTTTGATACTCACATTTGCCAGCCCAGCCTAATGCCGCTTCAATTATCGAACCATTTTCAGTACAATCTTCGTGACACAGCCAAACGACAACGGGTGCTATCAATTCAGGTTTCAACTGCTCAAAAAAATCTGCGAAATATCAATATTTCAATTTGTTCTTTTTAGCAAAATGCACTTGCATATGTATGTATATCAAAGAACTTATTCTGTATCTTGAAATGAGATGATAATTAATAAATTCGCTCATTTTCGTAATTTTCACCTCGTTTTAAGATACATAATCGGCTCTAAGTTC